CAATGGAGAGAAATCGCCATTTTGAAGTCCGTTTAAACAAAGAAGCCTCTAGGACAAATGGAGCTGGTGTTTACGATAGTAATAAAAGCATAAATCTCACAGGGGTCGGATCCGCCCGTATTGATCCTAGCTTCAAACAACTTTGCTTTGTCCTGGGGGGGGGGGGGTCGCCTGTCTGGGGCTGCGAAAAAAGCAGCTGAGAAGAACTGGCTGGAGATAAAGGCTCTGCTTACGCTGGATCTAATCTCTGTCCACAGCCAAAAAAAAAAAGAAAAAGGCTGGGAATTACGAATAGACCCTAACCACAGAGCTACTCCCTGCCCCTTTATAGCCAAAAAGGGGTGATATCTATGATCTTATTTAGATATACAGACCAGATCTCTGAGAGGAGCTCCGTTGAGCCCTCTTCGGCGACAGGCTCCGCCCCCAGGAACTCAAAGCCCACTTCTTCATCCCTGTTAACTGTCCTGGGCGTTTCTCTGAGAATAATGACTCAATTGCGGCATCACCATTACTTACGCTCAAGGCTGAGAGGCAGCGTCCATCTCGCCCATTTCATAGCGGCCATCCTTGGCTTTCAGTTCATTCTTTAACACAGATCAAAGTGCTGCCGTTGTCTGGATTAGTAGATAGTTTGGGGCCTGCTCCAACTCCAGATCATCTATTTACTGAGGTGATTGTGAAGTTTGCCTCCAAGTGTCCCTCCTGACGTCAGTGGGGCAACTGATCAGGGTCCCCTTTCCGTCAGTGAGATTGATTGGCATCCACTGTTTGTTTGTATCACACTCCACTAGGATGCATTCCGTGTTGTTTGGAAGCAGCCCTGGACGCATTTCTGAGTATATGTATATAACAAGTATAGAACTAGAACCATCTTGGGCTTCCTCTGTTGGGAAGAAATGAGCCAAATCTGGGACAACTATAAGAACCAGTATTCTCTTCCTGGCCTGCAGGGTCTGGCTTTGAATTTTCCATTGGAAGCTTGATTTTGATATGCTTTTGATGTAGTTTTTTATGTTTTCTTTCCAGGTCCATCACCAAGAGCTTCTTTCTCACCAGCAAGAGGTCATTCTAGCCACACAGTCAGCCCAGAGTTTCCTGGACAAACAAAACCACAATCTTACACTGGAAGAGAAGCAGAATCTGCAAAGAAGGCTAGAAGAGCTGAAGGACCAGTATGCTGCTTCCCTGTCTCAGACAGAAGGGCACCTCAAACAAGCCCAGACGCTCTGTGATGAGCTGCAGAAGTTTTTGCGGGACCACCAAGAGTTTGCAGCCTGGCTGGAACAGGCCGAGCAAGACTTGGAGAAGATGTGTGCAGGGGACGGCAGCCTTGAGTCCCTTCAGCCTGTGCTCCTGCAGCAGAGTAGCTTCTCTGAAGATGTAATTTCCCACAAAGGGGACTTACGTTTTATCACGATGTCAGGGCACAAAGTGTGGGATGCTGAGGAGGCTGTGGCTGCTGCAAGTGGAGGGGAGCCATGCCCTGAGATATTAGCCACCAGCACATTAGTGAAGAGCAAACTGGAAGACGCCAACAGGAGATATGGCACCCTCCACTCTAAGGTAGGAGAAACCTTTAAAAGGAAAGGGTGATTTTCTCTGAGTAGCCCATCATATCTGCTCCCCAGTTTCTTTTCATTTCTTCTGTGATAGGGGTGTCAAACATGCAGAGTGCAGGTCGGATGCGTCACGCACTGGCCACGCCTACCCCCAGTTTAGCAAATGGGAGAAAAGTCGTGATATGTCACATGATGACAATGTGATGCTGTGAGTTTGACACCCCTGTTCTATGACATCCTCAAAGCCGCAAGTGGTTAGAATAATTGTGATTGTGGAAAAGTATTTGCCTCCTGGCAGATTGCCTGAGTTTTTGCATATGCCAGTGAGGGAATGCAACTGTCCTCCTGTTCAATCTAATTGAAAGGATAACTGGGGCCAGTTATTTCATTAAATAGTCATGCTATTTTGTGTCAAACTCATCTTATAAAACAAACTTCACCAACAGTGAAGTTCTCACTACACAGATCTGAGGGCCATGGCATACGTGGTCACATAAGTGTGCCAGGAAACCTAAAAAAAAAATACTGAACAGCATTGAGGGATCTGTGGGCCTCTCTTTGACAAAAACCAGTCTTCATAATTCTACCATCAGAAATTTACTAGATAGGAATGGGATTCATGGGATCATATCAAGCTGAAAACCATTGCGCCCTAAGAAGAACATCAGTGCTCCATATTACACTGAAGAAGTCACGCAATGGCTACCAATATCAAAAACATCTGACGGGCTATCCCATCTTCTTTTTACCGGGACAATTTGAAGCTGTATAGAAAAATACCATCTGAAATAGAATCCCTGATCATCACTTTCCGGATATATACAGCCAAGATATTGCAGTGGAGTTTGGGCTGGACAAATCTGCTACCCTTACCATCAGCAGATAAAATAGTAAAAAATAGTAAAAATTGAAGGAATCAAAGTATCCTTTGGAAATATCATCAAAAGCCTGAATGGAGACAATTTGCTACAAATACCTGGGCATCCTTCAAGCTGATAACTGAATTCAAGAAGAAGGTTAGAAGTGAATATATTAGGAGAGTGAAGAAGGTTTTAAAGCCCAAACTCACTGCAAGAAATACCATCAAGGCAATTAACACCTGGACAATTCTGGTCATTAGATGCACAGCTGGAATAGTGGACAGGACCTAAGCAAAACTAAAAGTCCTGGATAGGAAGGTGAGAAAAATCATCCACTCACCAACATTGACTAAGGAAGGAGCATGGTGGGCATGGAAAGTTGCAGGTATTCCAGACAGTTGAAGAAGAAGAAAGAATATCTGAAGGAGAGTGAAGGAAATGCACTGAAGCCAGTACCTCATTGAAGGCTTACTGAGTACTTGGGAGACCAAACTGCCCTACAGGAAAGACCAAATGAAGAATAGAAAGGAAACATGGCAAGGCAATATATTACATGGTCAGTATATACATATACAATAACAACAGCAACAACTAGCAGGCAAAGCAGATAAGAACAAAATCTAGTAATGGCTAAAAGCAGAAAGTTGAAGAAAAAGACAGAGGGATTAATTAGCTGCACAAGACCAAGCCGTAAGCATAAATGTTTCAAATCGAGAATTGAGAAGACAGCAACAGACAGCAAGTGTCATCTCTGCAAAGAAGCTGAAGAAACAGTGATTAGCTGCTGCAAGTAGATCACACAGACTGGTTTCAAACAACAGGAAAGTAGCAACACTGGTGCACAGGAATATCTGCAAGAAATACCATTGAGACTGCAAGAGACTCAACATGGAGCAAATTCAAATGTTTTGGAATGGCCAAGCCAGAATCCAAAGTTCTTACAAATATGGTGGTAGATCTGAAAGGAAAGTTGATGTTTGAAAACCCTCATATATTGGCTCTCTGCAGAGGACTGGACCAAATTCCTATTCAGTGATAGGAGTGACAATTGATTATGGCATGAAATAGCACTAAGAATAGCACTTACATACCGCTTCACAGTGCCTTACAGCCCTCTCTGAGCGATTTTACAGAGTCAGCATATTGTTCCCCAACAATCTGGGTCCTCATTTAACTGGGATGAAAGGCTGAGTCTACCTGGATGGAACTCCTGGCAGTGGGCAGAATTAGCCTGCAATACTGCATTCTAACCACTGCACCATTGAGCAATTATTGCAGCTAAAACAGGAATAATCAATTTGAAACTAAAACATGCCAGATAGCTTTCTTTATGAAATAAATGAAACTAGCATCACACTTTGGTTCAGTATGGTCCCTCAATATTTTACATATTATAACAGGACCCACAGGAAACTGATAATTTACAGCTGCAAACATGCAAAACTTCAGAAAATCAGAAAAGACCAAATACTTTTTCACTCTTAGGGTTAAGGATGACTTTCCTAGAACCAGTTCATCTCTCTGGTTAACTGATGTTTGGGGAATATTCTGTATGCTGGTAACCTTTGCCTTCCTCTGTGAGGAAAGCTTGCTTTATTAATTCTTGTTTTCTTGGCTGTCATGTTCTTATTTTATTGGAGTTTATGAATGTTTAAATATCTTTTTAAAAGAGCCAGTTTGGTTTATTGGTAAAGGCTACAATCAGGGAGCCTGTGAATTCCAGTCCTGCCTTGGGTGTGAAGCTAGCTGGCTGACCTTGTGCCAGTTACTTCCTCTCAGCACTAAGAAGAAGGCAGGAAGGACGAGCTGCTTCTGAAAAACCTTGGCAAAGAAAATGCAGGGACTTCTGGCAGTCTCCAAGAATCCAATACAATTGAACAGAAGGAAAAAGAAACCATTTGGTGCTTTTTTTCTGTAACAACTGCTTGAGTTTTTTGATACTTTTATTTTGGAGGTGCTTCAGTTTGTTCCTTGTGCAGTTTCAGGTTTATTTAGGACTTGGCTATATTTAGTTTCTCTTGTTTCTTTTAGCAATAGCCATAGCAGTTAGACTTATATACCGCTTCATAGGGCTTTCAGCCCTCTCTAAGCCGTTTACAGAGTCAGCATGTCGCCCCCACAGTCTGGGTCCTCATTTCACCCACCTCAGAAGGATGGAAGGCTGAGTCAACCTTGAGCCTGGTGAGATTAGAAC